AAAAATGATGTAAGAGGTGAGAGAAATGGGTGTGAGTACACATGAAGCAAGACTGGTCATGAGTGTTTTGTTTTGTTTTGTTTTGAGACAGGGTCTCTGCCGCCCATGCTGGAGAGAAATGGCATAATCATGGCTCACTGCAGCCAGCTCCAGGTTCACGCAATCCTCCCACTCAGCCTCCTGCGTAGCTGGGACTACAGGCGTGTGCTGCCACACCTGGCTCATTTTCTGTATGCTTGTTTTGAAAGAGACGCAATCTCACAATGTTTGTTTCCTATGCTAATTGCTGAAGCAAAAAATTGGGTAGATACAGTTTCAATATACTACTCTTTCTACATTTATTCATGTTTAAAATTTTCCGTATCACCTAAATCCAAAGATTTAGGTAGACATGCACAAAAAGGACACCTTTTTCTCAGAGAATGTAGACGCTCTCGACCCTGCCATTCTTGCCATTAATCTCAGCACGATTTTGATGCCTGCTAGCATATGAATGACTCAACTACTTGTCAAAGTAACTATAAGTTTACCACACTTAATAGCATGTATTTCTTCCTTATTTACAAATATCTAAGCAAAGAGTTCCAAATGTGTTCCCTTTCTGTATTTTTGACTTTTTCACTAATGGATCAGTCTTTATATTTAAGCATACTCATCTCTCTTTGATCTTCCAAAACAGTTTTTCTTCTTTCTCCATTTTCACGCAGCTGTTTGCATATTTTTCATTTCTTTTTCACAATAAAACTTCTTGGGGAAAAAAAACCTGTTGTGACAGAGTTGTCACCTGGTATCCATTATTTTCTTCTTTAATAGAGATCTGAGCCACCAAACATAAAACACACATTCTTGCCAATGGGGCACAGTGGAAATGGTGCGTGCACCTGTTGGTACTATCTTTCCATTAAGATAGTTCTTTCTTTGCTGGCCCCTCCTTCCTTCCTTCTGGGTGGAATGCGGAAAAAAATGATTGGAATTCCAGTAGCTGTCGTGTACAACGATATGACTTTGGCAATGGAAGTAACAGACGGTGGAACAAGCAGACGGAAAACTGAGTTTCCAATCACCTGGCATCCTACCATCTTGGAGTATCTCCAGTACTGTAATCTGAGAGATAAATAAATCCTTCCATCTTGTTTAAACTATGACTTCTTTGTTTTTTTTTTTGTTTTTTATTTTTAAAATTATACTTACCTATAGTCAGTCTGCCTAATCTACACTTACTTACACAGTTAGGTCCTCTTAATCCTAATTAATATATGTTAAAGCCACTGTATCCAAATTCTTACCTCAAGCTATTTGATATGTAGCTTTCGTTGATACGTAACTTTCACACATACCATTCAACTGATACTGTCCTCTGCAAGGTCACAAATGACATATCACCACACCTTCAGTACAATTTGGCATTACTAATCGTTCCCTATTTTTCTAGTTTTTCTGTTTCTCTAGTTCAAACTTTTCAATATTTTTTTCACCACACAGAACACACAGAAAATGACTTTTGTTCAGGATACTGCGGTAATAGGCAAAACTGCTTAAGGCTGGAGAAAACCAGCTTGAAGTGCCTAGGATCACCCCAGGCCCCAAAGCTTATGAAGGCAGAAGGAGTCAATGCTATGGTAAAATACATAACCAATTGATGACATGCTACTGCGCTCAGTTCTGGACACTTCAGCCTCTTGTTTCTTTTTTTTTTGTTGTTTTTTGTTTTTTTTTTTTTGAGACGGAGTTTTTGCTCTTATTACCCAGGCTGGAGTGCAATGGCGCGATCTCGGCTCACCGCAACCTCCGCCTCCTGGGTTCAAGCAATTCTCCTGCCTCAGCCTCCTGAGTAGCTGGGATTACAGGCACGTGCCACCATGCCCAGCTAATTTTTTTGTATCTTTAGTACAGACGGGGTTTCACCGTGTTGACCAGAATGGTCTCGATCTCTCGACCTCGTGATCCACCCGCCTCGGCTTCCCAAAGTGCTAGGATTACAGGCTTGAGCCACCGCGCCCGGCTTTTTTTGTTTTTAATGCTTTTCCCTAAACATTCCAGAAAAGGGTGATTTTTTTTTTTTTTTTTTTTTTTTTTTTTTGAGATGTAGTCTCACCCTGTCTCCCTGGCTGGAGTGCAGTAGTGAAATCTCAGCTCACTGCAACTTCTGCTTCTGGGTTCAAGCGATTCTCATGCCTCAGCCTCCTGAGTAGCTGGGATTACAGGCACCCGCCACTACACCCAGCTAATCTCTGTGTTTCTAGTAGAAACTGAAATGGCCAGGTTGGTCTTGAACTGCTGACCTCCTGATTCATCCTCTAATCCTTTACCTGGGAGTTATTTCATCTATTCCTATGGCTTTAATTAAAATGTATATATGCTGATGACTCTCAAGTCTAGGTACACATCTCATTTCCTTTTTTGTGTGAGCATTACACAATCGAAATTCAGCTTCATATAGAGCATCACCCATCAGAAGTCTTCCAGGCACTCAGAGAAAAAAATTATCTTCACCCCTATGTGTTCTTCTGAGCTCATGAATGCCACCATCACACATTCAGTTGCTCATACCAGAGCCCTCAAGAGTCATCTTTTGACTCTTCTTTTCCCCTCTCCTTTACATCGTCTATCCAGTAAGTAAATATTGTATTCTGTTTAATTCTTTCAGAGCAGCCAAATCTGAGAAAAAAAAATCAGAGTATGATTTGTCATTAAATCAATCAACATGCAAAACAATAATTGCTTTAAATGATTCATTCTTAATGGAGAAAATATCGATTATTTATGCCTAAGAATGCAAAATTTGTCGTGGGTTTTTTTTTTTTGGTGATGTGCAAAAAAAAAAATTCTTACTCTTATGTATCAAGTACAGACATACGTACAATACTCAAACAGACACACAGTATAACCATGGTACTAATCAAATGGTAGTTCTGGGCTAAGCACTTTATCATTCATTGTCTCTCATAACAAATCTATGATATAGGTATTATTATTATTTTCATTTCACAGATAAGAAAATAAACTGAGAGGTTAAATAATTTAACAAATCTATTGGCTGACACTAGAATATGAGTTCTATAAATACAAAGGTCTTGTCTGAGGAGGTCATTTTTCTATTCCCAGTACCCTGGCACTAAGAAGGCAGTCCAATAGCAAGGGCTGAGTGGATGAATTATTACAAGTTAGAAATAAATGGAAAACACTAGAAGCCTATGATGTATTAGGTTTCAAATCCTGTTTTCATAATTACTGTGCTATTAGAGATATCCAGTACATGGTTCTAGACTGGACTGATGGATCTATGGGCAGACAGATGGATAGAATGAAGAGAGAGAGGCAGAAAGAAATGAGAAAAGATAAAAACGAGGTGCACAGTATCTGCTATTTGCTGCAAGCGTGCGAACTAAATTTAAAAATTATGATAAAATAAACCAGACAGAATAACTACATGCAAGATACCTGACAGACATTTCATTAGCAAAAACAACACGTTTTCTGATGTTTCTCACATGCAGTCAGCTTATGCACTTTTGAGTTTCTAACAGTCAAACTTACCTGCCGTGATGCTTCCAGGACCAGCCTGGCATTACAATGTTCAGGAAAAACAGCTGGAACTTGGATAAGCAACTATTCACTACGACTTTTTATTAAAAGCAATAGTTGCTGAACAATAACTAACAAAAGTCCACATACAAGGGATTATCATCCTTTAAGAATATAATCACGTTCGATGCCAATAATTAATTGGCGGATAGCTATTAGCTGAATTTCTAAAATGACAATCCTTTTTTTCTTTTAATTTGCTTCTTAATTTAAGATATTAAATGCAGTTATATTAAAATTACTTGTCACAGATGAATCTGGACTACACCTAAATGTCATATAATTATGAACTTCAACTATATATGGAATCCTGCCTACAACACATTTTAACTGTATGTCTTTGAGCAAAGTCTTTAACTTCTGAGAGTCAAACTTCTCAAGAGTAAAACGAAATACCTTTCAAATGAGGGTTATAAAGAGTAATAAGAAAATACACATAAAGCACCTAGCACAGTTCCTGGACTGCACACAGCATGGAGCTGTTCCTACAGAGTACTGCTAAGTTAATACATGGGGTTTTTCCTTACTCAAGAAAGAAACAGAGGCAACTTCTCTTAAACTCTAATTCAATGACTAAAATTCTTCCTATCAACAGTACCTCATGTTGAGATTTCAATAATAAACATGAGAACAGAGTAAATATGGAATGCCTCCTATTTGATTCTTAACTTGCTTGATACTAGCACTATCTGAGGTCCTGGTTTATCCAAGTTATATATTTCTATATATAAAACAAAACACCTTGTTTATCATTTGGTTTTCCTTTGAATGGACTCAATATCTTTTTAAAGTAAAATTCAGTGTGATAAATGATACATTTTGAATGTGTCTTTGCATTATTTATTTAAGCTGTGTCTATATTGTCGATATGCAATTACGGATCAATACAGGAAATGAACAAATATTAAGACAAATCTGGACTATATGAGATAAAGCACTGCCTGAGCTTCAAATTGAAGCTTTTGAAGACTTTGTTTCTGAATCACATAAACTAAATAAATTTTATAGGAACATATTGGTTAATCTACGGCCAGTATAATCAATTACTTGCAATGCCTCAAATTCATTTTTATCTCAGGCACTAGAATAAGATGATAATTAGAAGGCTACCTGACTTAAGTTCTTCACTTCTAACATGAAAACAGAGGGTCTAGCTCAGAGCTTTTGTGAAAATTGAAATTAAGATAATTCCTCTAATAGGTTTAGCACAGTACCTAGCAGACTAAGCAAAGGCTGAACATTTTTGGCATTTTATCTTATCATCATCACTTCTGTAGGAGATTAGATGTATCACTAGTAACTAACTGAACTGTGAAGCAAAAAATGCAATTCTTTACCAAATTAGAACCAACTCTATTACTACTAATGGCAAGAAATCACAAGTCCATATACACAGTAGTTTTTAAAGAGCATACCATATCCCACCGTAGAAAGACCCAAGTGTTTCATTCTATTTTTCACAAGTTCAGCAAGCTCTTGTCTTTCTGACCTCCTGTAGAGGTTCAGTCGCTGCTGGGTTATTTTTTCAGCTGTTTTACCAGAGTGTTTTGGGCCTTTCCTGCTCAGTCTTCGGGCCCACTGCATGCTTTTTCTCCGCAGCAAGGGATGGTCCGACTGGTCGCTGGATGTTGAGTTGCGGTGGTTCCCGCGGTGGTGCCCTTGTTCTCTGGAGTCTTTGGTGTCTTCCCACTCTTCTACACTGATAGATATTTGAGACTTTAAAGGAAACAGATATTGATAATTAGATACTTCAGAAGTAAACATGGCCTGAAGTTGAAATAGTATTTATTTGCTAATATTGACATAGTTACATTTCTACTCATGAGTTTTTTTTACAGAAAGAGCAAAATCAGTCTTCGATTCTAATTTTCCATTACTAAAAATATTAAAATGTATGTTTTGTTGAACTTACATATGAATCAGATAAAATACATATCTGTATCCTCTAGTATAATTTTTTGTGAAAATATTTAATTTTTATGCATAACCGTTTACTTATCGTAGTTATTTATGGTATTACTAGCATACAGTTGTTTGAAACATGTAAAAACCAACATTTTATAACTTTATTCAAATAAAATCCATGTAATGGACTTTTCTAAATCTACTACAAGTATTTTACACTCAATTTAAATAATTATAATTATTTTAGCTTTAGAGTTAATAATGTTTTTGAAGGTTTTTAAATTATTGCTCTTTCTAAAGGTAGCACTGTATGAATTTTATAATACGTGAAGTTTTAAAATTCTTTCATATGCCCCAGAAATAAACAAAAAAAATCACTTTTCAATTCATGCATTCATTATTCACCATATAAAATGCTTTTCTGACTAAAATATTAAAACATATTTCAAGAAGTGTTCTAAGTATTCTGAGTGAAAATATGTTGTAGATATTAATGTTTCACAAATATACTGTAGAATTACAACTCAAACTTAAAACAGGCTGTTCTCCATAGGAGGGAAAAACAATGAATAAACTCACAAACTATTATGACTTACTCGTTTATGACTAAATCTGATTTTTAAAGTAAGATGCTCTCCTTTGATTTTAAGCCTTTAATAAGTAAATGCTTACTGTTTGAAAATTGTTGCTTTTCATACTAGGAAGTCATATGAAATGCAACACTGATCAAAGCAGAAAGTCTTACTTTCTAAAAACATGCACATGCAAACGAACAATTTCCTGAATACTACTGTACTTAAGAGCAGCATTCATGAATCTGTTAACTGCATTTCCCTGTTAGGGATGGAAGCTTGAACTTCAGTTACAACATGCATGTGTTGCTGGCTTTTAAAGTAATAGAATTTAAATTACCAATTTAAGTAACGTCAGGAAGTAGATCCAATAAAATCCTTAAAAAGTGAATATAAATTATAAAGGCTCAGTCAATGCTTTACATACAATTCCCAGTGGCAAGCTATGAAATTCTTTCACACTTAATTTCAACCAAATATTCAAATACTAATCCACATCTGTTTCAAAACAGTGCTATATTAGAAGGATATCCAAAAAATCTTCATCTCTTCATGATAAAAGAATTGAGATCAAACAGTTTTAGAAACCATATTTTATCTATCAGAACTTAACTTGTAAGCATTAAAAGTTTTTAATACCATGATTGAACAATAATGGACATTTTCATAAAGTTTTAACTCTTTTCTCACCTACTTGATAATATACTGAAAATTCTCTTCTGTGGAATTAAAACACAAACTCTTAAGTAGTATCTACTATCAACAAGAACATTAATTCGCATTTAGTAGTACATATGCACTTCGTAGCAACAATGAAAATATGCTAGTTGAGTTGTATTTAGACAGTTGTTTGCAGAGTTTAATCATAATCTTAAATGTATTTAATCATAATCTTAAATGTATTTGAAGTATCTTTCAGTTCCTCTTTCTAGACATAAATCCTTGATAGTTTGATTTCCTATAAATATGTGGAAGTAATAATCTTGCCAAACCAAACATTAAAAATACTATGTTTATCTAATATCAGTTATAACTCAAGTCACAAAATCATATTGTTATTTTATAATATAAATATAAATATTTATACTCATATTATCTATATAAATAAAGCATAGAGATTCACTTATTTCGAAGTAGGGGATGAAATACTGATTTTGTGAAAGCTCTTCCTCAGCCACAGGTATAAGGCATCATGTAAAGTATCATCTACAAGACAAACTGAAATCTATGTATACATTAGTTAAGCAATATTTAATATCCTGTTCACTATAATTTTGAATTCCCCCAAAAGAAACTATTAAAGTTTATACATAAAAATCCATAAGAATCTCAAGTTCCTTTTTAAATAATTTCATAGAATAAGTAATATTTCTTTACTAACTTCATTTTACAAAAAAAAAGAAATGAGAAGAATGTGAGGATTACTCTTAGGAAATCCAAACCCAAACACATAAATTGCTCTTTACATGTTTGGAATTTGCATTCCTTTCTCTCATTCTTCCAACAGGACATAATAAAAAGTACATTAAGTTTATGTGTATGATATATACACATTTGAGTTCTATTTTGAATGCTTCCTAGCTCTGTCCCTACAATGAAACTGCACAGCCCTATAAAAAAATGAGGATAATGGCCACCTTCTTTTCTACAGAAAAGTGAAAATTCATATGACATTACTATATGAAGAAAACATCTGTTAACTGTAAACTTTCACATAACAATACCATTAATATATCCTAGTAGAAATTATCCACAGTATCAATAACATTAGTAATAAACATTTGTTACTCTAGTCCTTAGATACTGAAGATGTGTCTGTGTGTGTGTTGTAATAGGAGGTCCATTTATAAATATACTTTCCTGATGTCATTTCTTCAGTTGTAACTCTCGTGTTTTGAACGTGGCATTAGAATCTCGTGGAAATAGCATATAGTGCTGGATACACAACAGTGCCTTTATAACAGGACCTTCTCCTGAACTCAGTGTCACAGTGAAAGAATGGTGAAAAGCAAGGTTTTAGCATCAGAGACACGAGTTTAAGTAACAGTTCTACCACTTACCAGTTTGCCTTCTTGGTTATGTAATCTAAGCTCTCTGATTATTTCCATTTCCCTCTCTGAAAAATTGTCATTCTATTATTACATTATTACTTTGCCCACCAAGTTTTTCTGAAGACAGAAAAGAGATCATGCATGAAAAGGCAGAGTAAGATGTCTGTCTTAGGAAACACCCAATAAATATTAATATTTTATGGCTTATGATCTTGTATAAAAGGACAATAAAGAGAAGAAAATAAGAAATAATCATGATGTGTACATAAAAAGGGAAAAATGAGTATGAAAAAGAGAGGGAATGATTCAGTTCTCCATCAGTAGACTTCTAAATAAATCAAGGTGCTAAAAATGTGGACTTGGAGGTAAAAATATCTTGGTTAAGTGTAGTCAATTTAAACAAGAGAAAAAGTCTCAAAGTGAAAGTGAATATTTTTCATTCTGCACAGTTTCTATGAATTATTTTGTACTTTTCCATGGAATAAGTAGAGGACTCTGATTTTTTTGCATTTTTGTTGTCAGACACATAATATAATCATTAACATGAAAAATCAAAATCTAATACTAATGTTTATGAGAATGATAAAAACATATTTCCATATGTAAATGAAATGCTTCTGGTAATATATACAGTACAATAAAGAAGTGAAAAATTCATGACAACTCTAATAATTTTCAAACAAATTTAAAATATTATCACTTTCTAAAAGTTATATCACTTCCTAAACATTTATCATACTTAATATGATTTTTTAAGGCTAAAAGTATTTCCTCATATGAATAATAATTAAAAGAGTAATAAATAAGAAAATGTTTCTTATGCCTAAAATAGCTGACTATGTTATTGTTTTCAGGAAAGTAGAAAGTATCAGATACACTAAATACATTACTCTTTTCCACACCCTTCACAAACACACATCAAAGTGACTCAATTCAACTTTTTCCTGATTTTTTACTGAACAGTTATTCATCTTATAGGTTATTGAGCAATCTATAGAACAATGTAGTATTTTAAAATAAATCAATTCACTCAGTAGTTTGAAAGTGAGTGTTTGTAATCTGGCCTCACGACTTTCTAAAGGACAGTTTTACTGACTTCATTATACTCAACTGTGCTATTTGATTTAGGACTGAAGTCAGAATTGTTGTAAAAGAAGAAAACAAAAGAAAATGAAATCACTAAAATGTGCTAGTTTAACATTCTATCAATGAATCTTTATCTAATATTTTCCATTAAATAAAGGTTAAATTGTAAAAATACTTAAGAGATCACCTAAATTTAAATATATGTATGAGTACCAAGGCTAGTGACTGGGTCTACTGAAAGCTTATTTTTATTTAAAAAAAAAATCTAAAGAAAGATGTTTCGCCATTTTCCAAAGTTCAATTTAATATGCAAATGTGGTCTGTGATCTAAATGCACAGTGAGAAAATAGCTAGTTACTCGTATATTGATCTATTTTCAAATTAATTTCAGAATTACAAAGACAATTAGAGAATAAACAATCTTATAGTCTATAAAATGCTGAATTTGGAATCAAATAAATAAGCTGTATTTTCAACTACCTCGGGAAAATGTTTTATGACCTTAAGCAAATCACTGAGATTCTCGGAAAATAATCTAATTTTAGACAGGAAGATAACCTGTCTTCATGACAAGAAAACGCAAAATGTATGAGAACCTAGTATTTAAACTCTAAAATAAATTTTAAAGCCAAATATTTACTTTAAAAATTTGTGTTGAAATAATAACATTTTTAAAGCCAATAATTTGGTGGAATGATGGAAATTATTTTAATCTTTGACTCCCTTTTTCATACATAAAAATAAGTTACTTCATTTGTGTGGTCTCTTAGGTATCTTTCAGTTCCACCTATATATAATTCTACAAATATAAAATATACTTGTATTAGGTAGAACCTCTATTAACTCACCCTTCCAATTCTATAGCTTCAAATGGGAAAATTTATGTTTATGTCCAAGTGAAAAAAATTCAAATTCTCTATTAAGAGATAGATAATATTAAATAATCCACAAATTCATGCTAGTAGTTTTTCACTACTATCCAACAAAGCACCTCTGCTCCACCCATCCTCATCTATCTTTTGGTTATTATCTGTAAAAGAAAAATCAAATATACCTACTTTTATATTTCTCAATATTTCTATCTCCTTTCTTGTGATTTTCT